CTCCAGCCAGTCTCTTGCATCTCTACCAGGACAGCCTGACAACCAGGGTGACCATGACACTGATGTACGCACCTCCCAACATATCACCACGGATATACCTGCATACACCGAGTGGCCTCAAACTAATTTCACTCTTGGAACCACGACCGCGGAAGACTGTGCGACTGCCATTGACAACGCATACAACGAAGCGGTTCACTTTCGACCGAACGCCTTTGACGTACCCAGTGGCTCCGTCGGAAAGGAATTTGTTCAGGTACTCAGCCAATACCTCCTTGCATTTGGCAATGGCTCCTCATTCCGGTGTCAGGGATTTAAGGTAGCGATGCTCTTCCAGATGCTGCTACTCCAAAAACCTTTCCATGCCCCGCCATCAGCCTTTGCGAAGTGCCTCAAACGCCGTCTCGAACTCTGGCGAGCAGGTGCCATCTCTGATTTAATAGAAGAATGCCGTACCATACACAAACAGATCGAATCCCACCAGCGGCGACAGGACAAAGCTTGCGCTGGGCATGATGACACTGCCAGAAAGTTTGCATCCCTGATAACTGATGGCAAACTCAGGTCGGCCCTCGCACAACTGGAAGAGGACAACGGAGGCGGTGTTTTGAACCTGGACGATAGAGTCGATGGCGTAACTGTTCGGGATATTCTGGCTGCCAAGCACCCGCCGGCAGAACCCGCCCATCCGGACGCTATTGTTCAAGGGGTTTTACCTCCACGACCACATCCGGTCCGATTTGAGTCATTAACTGGAGATGTCGTCCGCCGCGTTGCCCTAAATACACATGGAGCAGCAGGCCCGTCGGGAGTGGACGCTGACACCTGGAGGCGCATGTGCACCGGATTTGGAGGTGCCTCTGGTGAGCTCTGTGAGGCAATGGCTACCTGTGCCTGCCGGCTGGCAACAACATTCGTCGATCCCGCGTCTCTGGAGGCATACCTTGCTTGCCGGCTTATACCTTTGGATAAGAATCCCGGGGTTCGGCCAATTGGCATTGGTGAAGTTCTCCGCCGTATACTTGGCAAAGCCATCCTGTCTATGATACGGGACGATATCCAAGAGGCTGCAGGCAGTCTGCAGGTCTGCGCTGGACATGAGAGTGGCATTGAGGCAGCCGTTCATGCCATGACGACTGTTTTCGACGATGACGACACAGAGGCGCTGTTGATGGCGGATGCTTCCAATGCGTTTAACCGTTTAAACCGCGAAGCATGTCTTCACAACATCCAGCACCTCTGCCCGGCTATGTCTGCTATCATTATCAATACGTACCGGCACCCTGCCAACCTAATTGTCGGCGGAGAGGTGATACGGTCCCGTGAAGGTACAACGCAGGGAGACCCTATTGCGATGCCACTCTATGCTCTCGGTGTCCTACCCCTGCTGCGGTCTGTGGCGACTGAGGGGACGGTGCAGGCTTGGTTTGCTGATGACTCAAGTGCTGGTGGAAAGTTAGTGAAGGTACGGGCTTGGTGGGATGCGCTGACCACCAAAGGTCCCTTGTACGGATACCACCTGAACCCGAGTAAATCTGTTCTCCTCGTCAAACCGGCAGTCCTCGGGCTGGCGCAGGAGCTATTCAGGGACACTGGGGTGACCATTCGTGTGGATGGGTGTCGCTACCTAGGTGCTGCAATTGGTACTGCTGAGTTCCTACAATCCTATGTCGAGGGCAAAGTCCAATCCTGGATAGGCCAGCTGGAGCGCCTAACCGTCATTGCGTCATCTCAACCGCAGGCTGCCTTCTCGGCATTCACCAGTGGCTTGAAACACAAGTGGTCCTTTCTGTGCCGCACCATGTCCAACGCTGCTCCAAGCTTTGGGCCACTGGAGAGTGCTATCCGGGACAAACTGATCCCTGCGATCACCGGACGTCAGATCTGCGAGGAGGACCGCGCTGTGCTTGCCCTGCCCTGCCGTTACGGGGGCCTTGGTATCATTGACCCGACCCAGCTGGCCTCTCAGCATCAGTCATCGAAGCAAATCACCAGAACCCTGCAACAAAACATCATCCAGCAAGTGATGCCGCTTGGCGATGCTATCTGTGATGGACAAGCAGCCAAGAAGGCAGTTCAGACGTCAGCTCGCAACGCTCTCCGAACCCACGCTGCAACTGTATGCTCTTCACTGAGTGCAGACCAACAGCGCACAGTTGAGCTTGCAGCAGAAAAGGGAGCCTCAGGGTGGTTGACGTGCCGACCCCTGAAACGCCATGGCTTTGCTATGGCGAAGGCGGAGTTTCGGGATGGTTTACATCTCCGCTACAACTGGAGACTACCGCACATGCCGTCTGCGTGCTCTTGTGGGAGCCAGTTCACCATCGCCCATGCCTTGAGCTGTCCAACGGGTGGGTACCCCAGTATTCGCCACAATGAAATTCGAGATGTGACAGCTGGCCTTCTGAAGAGAGTATCTACCAATGTCTCCGTTGAGCCGCACCTCGAGCCTCTGTCGGGTGAGCAGCTGTCTCTTCGCACTGCCATTCGTGCCGATGCTGCCAGATTGGACGTGGCCGCTAACGGGATATGGGGAGGACGATTTGAACGCACATATATTGATGTCAGGGTTTTCAACCCATTTGCGCCCTCAAATCGCTCCTCCTCCGTCTCCGCAGCCTACACCCGCCATGAGAAGGCAAAGAAGCGTTCGTACGAACAGCGCTTGCGTGATGTAGAGCATGCCTCGTTTGTCCCGGCCGTGTTCTCTACGACTGGCGGCATGAGCAAGTGTGCGTCAGCTCTGTACAAGAGAATTGCTGTGTTGCTTGCAGAGAAGACCGGTGAGTCCTACTCCCTCACCATGGCGTTCATCCGGTGTCGTCTTAGCGTAGCGCTAATACGGGCCAGTGTAATGTGTGTGCGTGGTAGCCGATCCATGTTTTCTGCCCATGCTCCTGTCGCGTCATCTGCAGCTGTGGTCGCTGCGGAGGCATCCATTATGGCTGACTGAATATTGTCATATAGACTGTTTTCACAGCCACACTAGCTCATTTTTACTACTTCGAAGTACTTATTATTTGCCATGGCGACCCCCGTAAGTCCAAATAGCTGGCCGGGCAGGGTTGGGCCTTTTTTCCTTTTTCTTTTTCTTACTCAGCTGGCTTGGCGCATCGACTGTAAAAAAAAAAAAAAAAAAAAAAAAAAAAAAAAAAAAAAAATCAGTGTAAGTCTCGATGGAACGCTTGAGGATGGACTGTACCCTTTTTGGACTCTTTTTCAAAGTTCAAATTTCGCAGCACTGCACTGTGTACAATGAAATCACGAAAAATCGCCAAATACGGGAGCTCGCCAGAGCCAGGGCCCATCTTTTTCTGAATGGACTGTAGTACATGAATAATTACCCATATAAAAACCGCTCTGTGAGCGGTTCTGAAAAACCTCTACTGGTGCAGCCCCGTCGTAAAAGTAAGAAATTAGAACTGGCGCATTGTCCTCCCAAATGTGAACTGATCCACCTAAATCGCGATTGACGGGACCCGAACGCACCAGTAGCACGAGGTTCCTACCTGTGGATGCAGCTGGGGACGCTGGTCCATAGCCAAAGCCAAAGCGGCAAAGGTGGGCTTCGGGGTAGATCTAAGTGTTGTATGGTAACTTGATCAGCGCCGACGCCGGCTGTGATCCTGTGCCCTCCCGACCTCGTGCTACTGGTGCGTTCGGGTCCCGTCAATCGCGATTTAGGTGGATCAGTTCACATTTGGGAGGACAATGCGCCAGTTCTAATTTCTTACTTTTACGACGGGGCTGCACCAGTAGAGGTTTTTCAGAACCGCTCACAGAGCGGTTTTTATATGGGTAATTTCAGTTCTTTTTCTGTTCCCTCCCCCACCCTAGCCCAGCTCCGAAGATAAACATGGTGAGCACGCGCGCGATGCACTGTATGTAGCCATGCAACTGCAGTAGCACACTGATACATTCCAGCCCTCCCCACCTCGCTACCCCGCACACAGACACCTTGTGACAAACACGCACATGCACATGGCACACACACACATGGGCACGCACACACATACATACACACACACACGACCCAAACAGGAAATTCTTGATGAACATTGTATAATGCCTTGCAAAGCAGTGGCCACCATACTTCAGGAAGTCAGTTGTGAAACAAAAATAATTCAACTACAATGTGTAGGTAAGCTAGCAGCCAAAGCACAACATTGCAAACCGTGATGATATTTGCCTAAGGATTGCAGTTTGCAGACCACACCATGGAAGCAGTGAATACAGAATTATTGTAATGTCATACAAAGACGAGCAAAGAAGTGGCCACCATACACCAGAAACTTGCAGAAAGTCACATATCCAACAGATAGAGAAGTGAACAGCATCTGGTACAGCCCACACAAAACCAAGCTGACCTGATACTCGTCCGAAGATCGTAAGTGGCAGATCCTTTTCAACGATAGCATGCAGGTGTACGTTACACGCATGGACAAAATCTGACCGTGTCATCGGCATACATTGTCATCACATGCATACCCCACAGGTTACACACATGCACAGTAGAAGCACAATAGGCCTTGACGGATTATGCTAGCATAATTTTTCGCATAATTCCTACCAAAATCGAATAATCGCATAATTCGAGGCAAATTGCATACGAATCGCATAAATTGAAACAATCCGCCTGTTCGCATCAAATTCCATACAGCTGTACATGTTCTACAAGTACAAGTACAATTAGATGCACCAGGAAGTCGTAGGTTTTCGACTCCCTTGATAACATGTCCAGTCCACTACAATCAGTGATGGTCGTAGCTAGGTCACCCGGTGCGTTGACCCCGTTGAACTTTTGCTACTACAGTACAGCGCCCTCTACAAAAAAATTCCCCTGTTATTTTGCACAGAACCATCATACATTAGCAGCATATGTGAGCATAATGCGGCATAATATGATAACTTTTAGCATAAAAATAGCACAAGTTTGCAATTTTTTCAGCAATGCGAAAAGCATAATTTAACGAAAATATTAGCATAATCCGTCAAGGCCTAAAGCACAATAAAAGCAATGGAAAAATATGAAGGGGTTGCTGAAGCATCTTCACACTTCAATTTCAGACTTCGAAGTGGTCGTCACGGGGTGATATACCTGCAAGATACAAGTGATACAGAAAGCAAGCATAAGGTCGTGAGGTAGGCTATGAGACACCACAAATGGGTCACCTACATGTATGTTCAGGGCTGGTGTACACACACACGCAGAATTATCATAATCGAGAATTTCCCAAACTACAGAAGAGCAATGAAATCCATTTGCATGCACAGGAGCAATTTTGCAGTATGATGCGCAGCTCGGGAATACACCTGTTGGCAATGGATTACATTCCCATTGGAATTCCCATTCACGTGGGATTCACAGAAGCAATTTGGCAGTGTGCTGCGCAATGCGACACGACCTGCGATTCTGCGTGCGATGCAAACTCGCACAAAATACCATTCACAGAATCAGGACAAGACGTCAGCGATGCAACAGCGCCTTGCTGACGTGCCTCAAGTCAAACCTCAATGAGAATGCGTTTGTCGGTTACAACTGGTACAAATGTACAAGCAATTTCTGAAAATGCTCCTGTGGATCCTGCTTTAAGCAGTGCAGGAATGTCCCTCCTCCGCTCCCCCCCCCCCCTCCACACCCTCAGGGAACTTGACAAGGAAGGGTGGTCTTCGCGGTTCCCAACATCTATTTGCAGTTTCTGGTCTCCACTATGTCTTTTCAATGGGGATTTGTACGACCATAAAAGCAAGCCTAAAAAATGAACAGCACATTTGCCGTTCCCCCACTGGGGAGGATGCGTTCCAAAGCTATCCTGACAAGATACTCCGAGAAGCGGTGCTGAGTGCAATGCATTGTGAAACTGAAAAAGCTGACCAAGCCGCGGCATATAACGTCTAAACTTCAATTGTAGTTCGCCAGCTGACTACTTTCAGACTCCATGTAGGTTGGAGTACAGCTGGCTTAGAAGTTTGACAACGGCGCACGCACATAAGCAATGGCCACCTTACCTGTACTGTAGCAGTACTTCCGAGTTCCCGTATGGGAGTTCCCTCACTGTGTGTGCAATAGCAGCCTCATCGGACCAGTTCAATGCGAAGCGGACAGTCCGACACTGAGGAGGACATTGAAGAAGTCAGAGACAGGAAGAATGGTTGATTTACAATTCAACTAGCAAGGCTGCACACCAACGAAGTTCCACTCACCATTGTGCCGTCCTTCTTGGAATGCAGAAATAACGCTTCCTCTCGAGAACGCAGCCTGTGACAGAGAAAAAGGAAGGAGCATCGCCATCGGCATTGGTCCTCTGCTATCACCGATTGCCGAGTTGCACAGTTCACTCTAACAAGACTGAGGATGTTCAAGAACTCCCCATCCATACCATTATTGGGGTAAGAGGAAAGGTCAGATTGCCTAGTTCCTAGGGCCTAGCATTCCTGGATGCCAGGATGTGCTGCCCCCCCCCCCTCCCTTCTACTGCCTGGAAAGGGCAACATATGTGACAGCGTTCACCAGTACAGTCGGAGGAGAACTTGGGAGAAGGCAAAAAAGGGCAACACATATGAATCCCTTATAAACAAGCAGTGGTAACTCTAGCACCAGCAATGTTGGACTTACATCCCAGCCATTGCCGCCGGATTCAGCGGCTTCTTCTTCTTCGTCTCCCATCTTGGAAGCACTCCTTCCCGTAAGTTCAGTCCTGGGATCGGGAGTACAGTCGGAGGAGGACGTCGGAAAAGGCAAAAAAGGCAACACACATGATTCCCTTATAAGCAAGCAGTGGCTACTCTGGCACCAGCAATGTTGGACTTACATCCCAGCCATTGCCGCCGGATTCCCACGCTTCCTCTTCGTCGTCTTCCAGTTCCCAGGTTCCATCTTGCAAATACTCCTTCCCGTAAGTAAGTGCAGTCCTGGCCTGGGTGGATGCGCAGTACATTGACGATGGCGGAGATGGAGCAGGTCAGGGAGCCCTATAGGGGTCCCGAGAGCAGATTGTGGCCAAATTCGGGACGATGCCGGACGCCAGTCAGTATGAAGTAGCGAATTGCGGACCGCCACGTAGATTGGGGTCGCGGGGTCATAATCCATGGGCACTACTCGTACGTTGCTCCAAAAAAGGGCACTGCACTGTTCCACAGTTGCTGTTAGCGGTCGCCAAAGGCACTTGGTAGGCCGGTAATTGGGTCACGTGTCAACAAAGTGTCAACAACGTGTCAACAACGTGTCGACCACGTGTCTTTAGCGGTACACTAATTTTGGTGTCCCCAAACTGAAAACATCGAGCACCAGTATGGAAAGGCTTTAGACAGAAAGCCTTTCCAATAAGTAAATAAGTTGTAGTACTACAGTACTAGTACTAGTGAGCGCCGAGCGCGGCGAGCGCCGAGCGGACAAGAAATGGAACGTTAGCTGCATGACATCATTTTGAGATACATGTACATGCGTTTGAAGTTAGTTTGGCAAACTGTGGCATATTTTTTACCTGGGTTAGAGGGCTCTATTGCATCAAGCGCTTGTGCCGTTCAGCACAGGCCACACATAACACTGGCACACAGGGCTTTAAGGCCCCGGTCACACCGAAACAAGCCACTTTGGGCTTGTTATCGCTGGCGCTCAGCTGGCTTGCGTGATCCCTGTGACGCGGTCACACCAGACCTTGAGAGTTGAGTGCAAAGCTTGAGTGGCTTGTTTTTCTTACCCGCCACATTTTGAATATCTCGAAACACACCAATGTTTTCAAGAAACTGGAGAGCAGAACGTTCGCGATCTGTACTTGTTCTAGTGTTCAGTTTTGATGAAGAAGCAAAGGAAGCCCGGATTCTGAATTGCGAAGTCGTGCTCTTTTTATTTGTTCGGTGTGCATGGACGCGATGGTTCGGGTGGTGTTTCCTGATGTCGAGCTTTCTGCCCCGCCGGTTGCCGTTATTGAACTCAGTTGCAATCCACTCTCTTCTTCGTACCCGGTTTTCTTCATGAATTTGGTCGTGAGTGTGGTGCCTCCTTGTCTTGGCCTCAAACCACAGCTCCAACAATCTACGCAGCAGTCAAGAGGCACAGCGGCAGAAATCCATGGTCGTCGGACAAAATCCAAATCAAACTGAATACAGTGTAGTTGGGGTAGACAGACTCACGGTCAAAACTAAAGGCACAGGGATAGCACGATTCCACGGACACAAGAAAGAACATCAATATCAGTTCATCATGTCAACTAGCTACATGGTGTGCTCCGGAGCTCCAAGCGCACTCAAATTATTTTTTGAATTTTGGCTTTCAGCCGCTTGTACAAGCTGTGGCTGAAACAAGCCGGAAAAAAACGGCTGAGAGTCAGCCACGGCTGAAAGTCGCTTCAAGTTGTAGGACATTTTTCAGCCATTTCCATGGTAATAGTGACGTAAACAAGCGCTTGTTTCGGCTGAACGGCTGAATCGAGCTCGGTGTGACCGCGGCCTAAGGTGGCAGACTACCCAAAAATTTGCTGAAAAATTGAATTTGTAAATTCATATTGAGTGCTACGTCAGTTGAAAGAGCATGAATAGCTGCAAAATTGTGTCCCTATCTGACCAGCCGTTCAAGAGTTATGGCCGAAAATGTGCCCTTGCAGGGAAAGATTTTTTGTTGCATGCTGTCATTTGTTGGCAGCACTGTATTTGAATGTGAGCAGACCGTGCGCAACTTGTCGTATTATGGAAACACGCGAAAGTGTGCAGAATTTTGCCCCGAGTCCAAAAAAGTCCAAAAAATCACGTTAAAAACCACGTATTGGGCTGCACGGCGGCGGGCGAAGCCCGCCGCCGTGCAGCAGGACTTTTGCCAGCATCCTCGTGACGTTGCAGATATGTGGCTTGATTATTGTAGTTGACGTTGATTTAGTGACTTTGGCAAGTTTAAGTCGTGTCAAGAAGTCAGGTAGGATTCAGTACTAGTCATCGGCGGATAATGCCGGCATAATTTTGAGCATAATCACGGCTTTCTGAAAAATAGCATTGCCAAGCATAATTTAGTTGATCCTTCAGCATAACTGCTGCATAAAACCGCTAGGTCCTCAAAGGTCAAAAGTTCACCGTCCAGAGTCCGTTGTTTGTTACAAGGGCAAGGGAATCCTCCTATAAATAGATCTACACCCGGGACTCGGCAGGGAGTCGTACCATACCACGGTATATATCTGGCACGGCTCCGTGAAAGGGCCTGATCTACACTGTAAATGTAACAGATGTCTAATGTTTAGGGCGTCAAAGGTCAAAAGTTCACCTTCCAGAGTTCTATTATTTCTATACATAATTATGCTTGTATTGATGTTGCAGTGCCTACATGCATTTTTATATATTTAACTTTATTATTATTTTAACTGATTTGAGGGAAAGAGACAAACGGGAAAAGTCTGAAGAAAAAATTGACTGTCACCACCAGGACTCGAACCAGGGACCCTCGCTTGTAGTAGTCCGTGAGCCAAATCTCAGAATCGGCTGTTTTAGCATCGACCGTTGCACCCAGAGAGGGACAAATCGTCCTTCAGCACACCGCTTCAGGATGGTATCCTGAAGCGATTTCCACTTGTTGGACAATTCGAAACTGATCCAGGGAGGTCACAGAAGACGCCAAACATCCAACTTTGCTCACTGACAGCAGCGGCCATTTTCGCCTTCTTCACTTGATTTTTTTGCGCTTGTTCACGGATTCTCATGTTTTGAAGCCATGAGCAGATTCCACGAGTGCACATAACGCGGAAACCAGTGCACAAAACTAGATTTGAATTTTTTTACCGCTGAGAATTATCAATCCGGATCATGCATATGCAAACTGCATGCAGCAAAGTAATTAGTTACAATGCATTCGTTCAGAACTAAACTGACTTCAAAGAATGTCCTAAATACCTCTCGAGATATTTGTTCACCACTTCCTAGGCGTAGAAGACTGTAGTGAGTAACCTTCTGGAGCGAATGGCGGACTCTGCCCCGAGCATGAACTTCTTTTCATCCTGTTCAAGGTCAAATATTACTCAGTTTACGTTGAAGAATAACAATTACATTCGTGAATGGCTGAACTGAGAATACCCTAATGATTTCTCTTGGATTTCGTATCCCAAGTTCCTCTACTTGGCTGGATAAATCGCCTCTTGACTTCATCATACTGGAATTGGACTTGTAGATAATAGCGAGCAATGAATTGGTGAGTGAAGTATATTTATAATAACCACTCCATTACTGAATACATGTACGTAGAATACTCCAGTATAGAATGATATGAACACTGAAGCTAATGTGACATTACGGTAGTACAATAGGAAGTACGTCACCACTGTTGTAAATGCACGCGCTGATCCTATCCAACCTGACAGCCAATGCAAGAGGTTGGAATTGGCTATTGATTGCCTAACACACTCATACAGTACCAAAAACTATCTGTCATTGCTCATTTTCCACTCAACATAACACAGTTGGAAATTACCAGCTAGGTGCACATCTTGGCACATAATGTGTGCTATCGCAGTCCACCGCAGTACACAGTAATACACAGATAACTACCGATATAAGATGATGCCACATACATACATACACGCATACGCGTGCACACACACACACATGAAGCAGCTGCCGAATCCGACTATGCAGTCTCCCAGACACGCACGCACGGGCACACACACGAACCAGCTGCCGAATCCAACTATACAGTCTCTCAGGCATGCGTGCACATCCACACACGCGCGCGCGCGCGTGCTCACATACACATGAACCAGCTGCCGAATCCGATTATGCAGTCTCCCAGGCACGCGTGCACGCGCGCGCACACACACACACATGGACCAGCTGCCGAATCCGACTATGCGGTCTCCCGGGCACGCAACCCCAATGGCAATGGGAGAAGAACAGACTCCAGGAGGAGGGCCCACCTCAGTGAGTGCAAAATGACCGATGCCCGTTGTCTGTTGTGGTCCTGCTGCCGTCAGTTGTAAATTGATCTCTCTTCACAAGGCGGACAGCGACCGAACGAAGGAAAAGCAGATGTCCCTGGTGCCTGCCTGATCACCGAGGCAGAGTCCAGTAGCGGATGGGAGTGAAGGCAATCTAGGGATGCACGTGTGGTCGGCCAAAGCTCCTCTGCTGCGAAACCAGCAACAACAGCATGTCCCGTGGCCGGAACACACTTCCTATCTTGTCCTGAACATTGCCGTTTCCGGTTACATGTCCCCTCGTGTGAGGGGCCGACAGACATGGAGAGTTTGGCTGAGGCGCTGCTCGCGTCAACGTCCTAGCGAGATCTAGACTTTTCTTGAATCCATTTGTTGCAGCTGTGCAGCTGGAACCCTCGGGTTGACTTGCAACATGATCGCTTTGGCTGCAGTGAGCTAAAACCCACCACTGACCTGAAACACGGATCACACTGACCACAGTGATTGTGGCAACACCGTGCCCCGACACCCACCATCCGGCCCGCAGTTGTAGCCTGGGGTGGTGTCACCAACAAAGGAAAGCGCCTAGCACGCACACACATGCACCCGTGCGCGCGCACACACACACATGCACGCCCGCGCACACACACACATGTACGCACGAGCACACACACATGCACGCGCGCGCACACACAAACACGCGCGCGCACACACAGAAACGTGCACGCACACACGCATGCACACACTGGCACACATACACAGACAATGGTATAGTATGTTCCTCGTCAAGCAGCCAGGTGCTCTGGCTTGGACCTCCAGCAGCGCTGGTTTCGCCCTCGCTACTTGTCGTCTTGCCCTCGCTACTTGTCGGCTTGCCCTCTCCAGTGCTGCCTGCAACAAAACATTCCCTTCCGTAAACTCTGGGTGGACCAGTTCTCGGTGTTGTGTTGACACCGTGCTCTGCTTTCATGGCATTCGTTGTTCGTATCAGCCACTAAGCTCCTGGTAGGTAGCCCCTTGTTGGCCTTAGGATGTGGCTCTGGGTTCACTACTACATGCACATCACTGTCAGTAAGTATAGATAAAGCAAAATCAGAGGCACTGGTCTTCTCCAGTGTTGCAAATGCTCAGGATCACATGCGTGCAATTGGTGTAGCACTTTCCATGATACCAGCCACACCATTTGCTCTTCCCTGAGCCCTTGTGCTGGCAGAGAAAATCCCAGACATGGTCGTCCTTCTCTCGAACAGCGCTGACGATGCGACGCCAACTTGTAGTCTCGATATTACTCGCTGCAGGCTTCTCGTTTCTACTAAATTGGGTGATGTCACACAGACACAAATTCCAGCAATATTACTCCGCTGGGCTGTCATTTGCCACTTCGTTGCCGTCAGCTGCCCCATCTGGCACCTCGCTGCC